AAAAAAAAAATCAAAATAAAGTACACAAATCCAAAAAAAGAAATGCAAATCTAAATGTGTAAAGTTTGTTTATTCTAGATCAGATTGACACGTATATGGTTCCCAGGATTTGTAGTGCTGGGCATTGCATAAATTGCATGGTTTAATATAAATAACACGGGAGTAAATATATCAAGTTATACATATAAATAAATAATTATTAAATCATATACTATTAATTTATCATTATGGTGCATTTGCAAAATACCCTAAAATTTAAAATTTTGACTACTAATACATTGCAGCGGATTTTGTTTATGCCTTAAATTAAATATAACCCCAAAATTTAAATTATAAATACTCTGACATATATTTTTTATGATAATTAATCATATACCAATATGTAATTTATTATAAGTACATGCCCTAAATTTTGGGGTGTGGACAGAATTTGCCGCGATGATGTAAATATTAGATTTTAACTGAGATAATCAACATTCCCCAAGTTATGATGCGTTATTTAATAAATTCTTATATCTAATAAAATAGTGGAAAGATAGATTAGCATGTGTTACCAGTACAGATCAGGGTTTCAGAATTTTTTTCGGGGTTTAACATTGATTGATTAATATATAATTCGGTAAGTAAAATTTAATTTAGGGAACCAAATGCTTGGATTTGGTGACAAATTGTCTGCTTAATTTCACAAATGCACCGTAATGAGTTAATGCAATAAATTCTGGTACGTACAGAAGTTGCTACAATTTTAATGACAAATTATGTAGTTGAGGTAGTTTATATTAGAATCATCATGATTTCTATTATGTGTTTCATAAATTTCAGTCAGCCACATATATTAAATAATTGAATTTCCGTTATTAGCACTGAGTGAGGCTATATATAGATATAGTATGTGTTATGACTATCTCAAATGTTATCTGAAATTCAGTTATCATTATCGGAATCAATCAATTTAAATTTTCTTAATTTTCTTTTAAAACTTTCAGCGCCGGATGATTTAAAAACTAAGTAGTCATTTGAGATTATTAAATTCCAATTAGGACACCTATACAATCTAAAAGGTTTCTGGTTCAAACGTATAGATCCATCTCCAGCAATGGACCACTTTTTTAAAAAAATAATATTTCAACATACGAGTCATTAAAAAAATATTGGAAATATATTATTATATAACACAAACCGAAAAGGACAGATTAAAAGGTTCAAGATGATGAATGTAGGTACCGTCTTGATAGAATTTTACTAACGTGTCCCTTGGATTAT